TAATTCTTTTGAGATTTGTCCCTGTCTGAGCATACAACAGTAATGTGTTCCTTTTTATCACCAAGTAGTATTTCGTTGTATAAACATACCACATTTGGTCAATCCAGTCACCAGCTGATGGACAATTAGGTTGTTTCCCAAGTTTGAATATTGTGAGCAATGTGGCTAAGACTATAAGTGTTGTGCAAATCTGGGTGGATGTGTACTTTCACTTCTCTTAGGTAAATGCCTGGGAGTGGAAACCCTGGGCCATATGAGCTAGTGAATTATAGTGGGGGAGGGAGGGAGCAAAGTCTTTGAATTCAGGCAGATTGCAATTTTAGCTACAACTCTTGTATGACACTGTGTTTCTCTATGACTCTTTAAGTTTTTTCATCCATAAAATGGAGATGGAGTAACTATCACATTGGTTTATTGTGAGATGAAAATGATGAACTAGAAGTTAAATTCCCAGTCTAGAGCCAGGCACGTGGAAGTTACCCAGTATTTGCTAGCTATTGTTAATACAACATCATAATCAGGAAGGAAGAGTTTAAGATTATAATTCTTCTAAAATTATCAGAGCAAAGAGTAACCATGTCTCAGGCCAGGCTTAACCATCTACTCCTTGTGGACATGGGCAGACACTTAATTTTTCGAGCCTTCAGTTTCCTAATCTGTGTAATCCACCCCTCAGGGTGGCCTGAAGGATTTGGTGGGAGCATGTGGGTGAAAGACACTAGCACAGGTCCAGCCCGCTTTAGACGCTTAGTCAAGGGGGACATCATAATTAAAATGGTGCCTAGTACTCACTGAACGTCTTTAATATGCGAAGCCCTATGAAGCTATCAGATGGGGTCTTCCCAATTATCTGCGAGGCGAGACCCAGGCTGGCAGACTCCCCTTTTCATAGGTGAGAAAACCTTAGCTTTCAGAGACTGAGGAGATAAGAGGCAGAGCAAGGACCAAGCTGTCTGCCTCCAAAACCACAATCTTGACCATTTGGCTCTAACGTCCTGTGCTGTGCAATAAGAAATGAGCTCAACCCCCCGACTCCCAGGCTGCGTGGGCTCTGTAAGGCAAATGTGCTCTGTGAAGTGTGATTTCTTAAATCAGGTTAAACCTAACCTCGCCCCTCCTCCCTATCTCCTTGTCCACTCAATAGAGTTGTTGGGAAATCCAATCTCAGTCAATCGTCTGGGGTCCCTCTCTGTCTGAAGATTGTGTAAGAATCCGGGAGTTTACACAACCAAGAACTTAAGAAACTGTGGAGGATGGAGGAGTATTTAACCCTCTGGCTTTCAGTGCATCGTGATCACTGCTGAAATGCACAATAATCGTGACAGTCCAAGACCACCACATTTTTGCCCATGACGTCCACCTCTTCTATTCTCACAGCCTGTCCCTGGAGACCCACCCTGCATGACTTCCGAGGCCTCTGTACTTACTGTTCCTTTCCCATCTTCAGTCTTCACACCTTGAGCAGGACAGAATCTCGTCTTCTCCTTCTGTTTTCAAACAAACCCTCACAGAGTCTTAGTTTGGCAAAGACCTCTCAACTCTGGGAGGCTAAAACCACCAAATTCTACAGCCTTGGCTGCCCCCTTTTAAAAAGCATTGGGGAAAAAAATAGGTTCCCAACAGTTCATAGTAAGCCTGTAAGGCACACAGTTAATTTTCAGTGTGGTTATTCTGCCACATTAATTTCTCAATAAATCATTGTGCTACAAGTATGCTGGGTATTTGAAAAAGTGGATTAGAGGGTGAGCTGACACTCTGCTGGTATTTCACATTTCAGGAAGGGGTCTAGCATTTCCCTACATCTTTGATTCCTAGTATACAAAACGATGATATTGTGACAGAAAGTGTGTCTCCGGATCCCCGCTAGTCCCTGGAGCTACCGTTAGGAATAGTTGCTGGGGCGAGTGTTAAGTCTAAATAGTGCAGTTTTTAAAAAAAACATTTTCCCCCTTAATTTCCCATTTTCCTTTTCCTAGGTATATTTCTTTGTTTCCCCAATTATATTTAGAAACACAATTAAAAAGTGTCAAAATACGTGCCAAAGTTGCTAATTATATAATTAAAAGAATACAAAGCAGCCATGGAAAGGGTAGTTTAAAAAAAAAAAAACTCACTTGTTCCAATTAGGAAATAATGAAAAGTCCTGCACCCAGGCTCCCACTATCCTCTGTCCCAGCTTCCCCTTTGGAGGGCGCCGCGCCCCGGCAGCAGTGTTCCCGGGAGACGCTGCAGGGTCACTGGGCTCAGCCTGGCAGGCTGGTGTGTTTGCCTCACCTGAGGTCTGGAGTGAGGGTCAGGAGCCAGGGGGTCGGTTGTCCTGGGAAGGGACGCCAGGGTTTCAAATGAAAACTCTCACCCCTTTTGGAGACCGTGTCGCCTGATCCCGATAACCTGTCCAGCTCTGTAAACTGTATGTGGGATTGGGGCGATCCTAGCGAGAAATCTGCTCAGCGTCTCTTTCATCACAAATGTGTCTCTTTATCTGAAAGAGCTTTAAAATAGGTGTTTTAACAGCATTTTAGGAAGTCTAGGCCTGAGCAGGTGATATCTTTCCCCAAAAGGTTATCTCCCCTCCGCACAGAAAAGTTGGTGAACATTGGAGGAGCTGCATTTAATAGATTTATTTAGCCCTCATTAAAGTTCAGGAAAAAATACTGCCTGCCTCCCTGCCTGCCTTGGTCCTTCCTTCCTTTTTCTTTTCTCTCCCTTTTCTCCCCCTCCTCCTTCATTCAAATGCCTTGTTTTTAAATGAAAAATGTTCTAATTAAATACTAAGCACAGAAGAATATTTGCAATCTATGAGTATGGTTTGGAAACTAAAAATAAACACCATGTAACTACCACACTGCTGCATGAATAGAACACACGGACATTTTTGAAGTTCCTTGATACTCCTCCTGTCTCCCAGGAGTTAATCACAATCCTAAATTTTATGTCCTGTATTTCCCTATTTATTTTTTGTAGGTTGCTACACACGTATTTCTCCCTGAACGATATATTGTATTGTTTAGATCCAGTAATTTATACCATAGATATAATTTGCTTTTCTCATCTAACATCATGTTTCTGAAGCCCATTCATGTGAGTGCCTACAGATAAATCTCATGTATTTTCACTACATGTATTCTATACTACATTATTGTGCATGTCTTCTTATTTATACTTGCAAAAAAAAGTGCAGAAGTGATCAAACTTTCTGGTCTCACGACCCCTTTTCACTCTGGAAAATTGTTGAGGACACCTAAGAGCCTTGTTTATGTAGATTATATCTATATATTTTTGTCTTATTAGAAATTAAAATTCAACAATGTTCACATTTTATTAATTTATTTAAAACTAATAATAATCTCATTACATGTTAATACTAATAACATTTTTACAAAGAATGACTATTTTTTAAAACAAAGATAAATAAATGAAAAGAGTGACATTATTCTAAATTTTAAAAAATCTTTTCATGTCTGACTTTAAGGAAAACAACTAAGTTCTCGAAGCTGTGCTTCATTCAGTTTGTTGGGGTTATAGTTTTGGTTGAAGATTTTGAGAAAAATCTGGTCTTGTACAAGTATGTGGTTGGACAGGAGAGGACTTGCAGACAGCCTGGAAGAACTCTCGGATCACACTTTGAGAACCACTGCCTGGGAGCTGAACTGCTTTCCAAAATCATCTCAAATTGGTTTGAATAGTGGTCGCATCAATTTATACTCTCGTCAGTATGTTCTAATTGCCCATGTCCCTGGAAACATCTAACACTGTCAGGCTTTTATATCCTTTAAAATCTGTTGGGTAGGAAATGGTATCATATGATGGGTTTCACTTTGATTATCTGATGAGTAATGAGCTGACTACCTTGGGGCTAAGCATGTTTCTTCCTACATACAATGCTAGTCAAATCTTCTGATCATTTTAATATGTATCTTTTTATTGATTTGTTCTTTTTATATTCTGGATGTCATTCCTTTGTTATTTCTATATATATTGCAAATATATGCTTCCATTTTTTGGTTTCTTTTTTTTTCTCTTTATGCTAACTTTTGATGAACGGTTATAAATTTTAATGAAGAGAAATGTATCAGCCATTACCTTTATGATCTGTCCTTTTGATCCTATCCCAGGGTCATACAAATATTCTCCAAAACTTCTTCCGAAAGATTTTGGTTTTTTACCCCCCTCACATTTCAGCCATTAGGCCACAAAAAATTGTGTATGTTGTGAGGCTGGATTTTTGCATATCTATAACCATGAGTCCCATACTAATTTATTGAATTATCCATGCTTTCCCCATTGGATTGCATTGCCAGGTTTTGCACATCAAATATCATATTCTTTGGGGTCTGTATCTGGGTTCTCTATTGAATCCACTCATCTATTTGTCTGTTTCTGACCAATACCATAATATCTTCATCACTTTAGTTCTAATAAGTCTTGGTATATGATAATGCTGATCACTCCGACTTCTTCAGGAACATCTTGGACAGTTTTTGTTCTCTTATTTTCCCATATGAATTTCAGAATCACATTACTCATCCTCTACGCATGAGGGAGAAAACCTTGGAAATTTAGTCAGCATTGCACTGAATCTGCAGATCAAATTGGGGAGGATTGATGTCTTTATGAAATTAGGTCTCCCTATCCTTGAATATGGTATACCTCTAAATTTAGGGGTCTTCATTAATATCCCTTGAATAGATGTAAGGTTTTGTTCCACAAAGTTCTTGCATATGTTTTGTTAGATTGGATCCCCGGGTCCCTTATATTCTGTGCTGTTAATATGAGTAATATTCTTTTAAAACTTTGTATTTTTAATTATTACCAGTATAGAGAAATGTAACTAGCTCTTTTCATAGCTGGCATTTTAGTAAACCTTTTTATTAATTCTAACAATTTCTGGGTAATAGTCTTTTAGATCTTTGTATATTGCTATATTTTCAGTATATTATATTTATACTTTTTCTTTTCTAATCCTTGTCTTTTTTTTTTTTTTTTTGGTCTTACTACATGGATAAGAGCCTTAACTATAATAGAAGAGTTGAAAGCTGGCATTTTTCAGGTAATTGATTTTAAAGAAAACATTTTAAAGTTTTACCATTAATTATCATAATTGTAGTAGATTGTAATAGAATTTTTTGCAGATGTCCTGCATCATTTTAAGAAAATCCCTTCTCTCTTTCTATTGTTTAGGGATTTTTTCATGAATAAAATTTGAATATCATCAAAAGCTTCTGCATCTTGAGAAGATTTTATGTTTCTTTCCCTTTTAATCTGCTAAATATAATAAAGTTATGTGTTAATGGAATTTCTAATGTTGACTCACATTTGTATTTCTATAATAAGCATACAATGTATTTGATATATTTTCTTTTTTATACATAAGGAAGTTCTGTTTGTTAGTTTTGTGTTGGGATTTTGGCATCTACGCTCATGTGTGAGATTGGCTGGTGATTTGCCTTGTTCAAACAGTCCTTGTCTGGTGTTACTTTTCAGTTTACACTAAAAATTTCATAGGATGACTTGGGGGCATATTCTTTCCTCTTCTATTCTCTGCCAGATTTTTTGTGCAGAAATTATGTGTTCCTTGAAAGTTCAGTATAATCATTCTGTAAAATTACTTGAAATATAAAATTTTCTTGGTGGGGAATTTTTAACCTCTGTTTTAATTTCTTTAACAGCTAAAGGACTATGTATGTTCACGCTCTCTCTCTCTCTTTTTGTTTTTTTCCTTGACTCAGATTTGGTTATATTTTCCTAGGACTATATCTCTTTTATGGATGTTCTCAAATTTATTGCCAGAGAATGATTCATGCTATTTTTTCAAAAATTCTTTTAAAACTCAATAGCTTTTGTTAAAATGACACCTTTTAAATATTGAAATTTTTTACAATTATCTGGTCAATCTTGTCTGAGTTTTATAAATTTTACTAATCATTTTGAACAACAAATCTTAGGTTTTACTCATTTTTTGTTTTCTATTTCATTAATTTCTGCTTTTATCTTTTTTATTATTCCATTTTCTTAGGGTGTGTTTTGTACTTTTTCCAAACTCTGAAACTTAGATGTATATAGCTTATTAATTTTAAACCTCTATATTTTTCTAATGTTAGCATTTTAAGGCTATAATTTTTCCTCTAAAGACCACTTTAGCTGCATTTCTTAAGTTTTGATATATAGTTTTTAGTATTTTTATTATTATTCTGTACTATTTTCTAATTTTCATAATGATTTATTCATTGACTCATTAGTCATTTAAAAGTGTTTCAGATTTTGTTGAGAATTGTGTAATGGTCTAGTAGGTGGTCAATTTTCAAATTCAATTGCTAGGTGCTTATGTTTTACATAGATATTTTAGATTAAGTTTGCTATGTGTGTTTTACAAATCTATATTCTCATTCATTTTTGTCTGCTCAATCTAGCAATTTTAAAAAGTTGTGTTAAAATATCCCTCAATTAAAGCATATTTATCAGTTTCTTCATGTAGTTCTTCCTATTTTTGATTTATATTTATTTTCAACTGTGTTAATAGCAATGAACACCTTTAAAACTTCATATCTTCCAGATGTAAATCTGTTTGAATTACTTAATGATGATTTTAATATACAGTAATGCTTTTAATATTGAAATCTACTTTTCATTGTTTAAACTATTTTATTATTACAATATTTAATCCTTTTTTTGGTTCAGTATTTCTTTTTTATCCTTTTACTTTAAGCATTTTTTAGTCCTATATTTTGGGGTTTTTTTTGGGGGGGAGACTGGAAATACATATATATGGATTTTGAAAACAAAGCTTCATCATCCGATATTTGTCTTTTATTTAACTGGAGTGCCTAGTTCATTTCAATGTATTGCAGCCATCGTATATTTGAATGAATATCTCTATTTCATTATGTGCTGTTTTGTTCAATTCTATGTTTGATCAACTTTTTCTGGGGAAATGACTTGAGATCTAGTTTTGAGGGGCCTTCCTCTGTAAAGATATTTGTTTCTTCTAATTTGGAACTTCCAAACAAGAATATCTCTTAAAATAATTTCTGGATTTTTTTTTTTGGCTAAAACAGGTAGTGTGAATATGTATGAGCGATAAACTTGAGTGAAGGTTGGCTTCTGAATTAACAGGAGAAAATTTCATCTCTACTGAGACATAAATTTCTCTGTTATTTCCTTATAAGACAAGCTTTCTTCTCCTTCACCCATCCTCTGGGTGAAGACCCTTGTGGTCTTGGCCTTACGTGATGTTGTCCTATCAGAATCTCCAAGTTAAGAGCCCTCTATGGTTTGCTTCCTGTCTTTGTCACAGCCATCAAGACTGAACTTCTGGTTCTAAGGGAACAGTAGTTGCCACTCAGCTATTCCAGCCTCGTGTGCTTTTATTTGGACCTTCAAAGGCCTTACTAGTCTAGACTCTCGCTGTCACTCACATTTGGTCCCTGGGGATTCTCTCTACCTTCTTGCCTACTCAGTTGAAAATTTTTTGAATTTAGTATATATTTATGTAGATTTTTTATAGCAGGATAATTAAGATATCTTGCCTCTCATAGTACTAAATCTGGAAGTTCTTTCTCATTCTACTCTTAAAGAATTATGTTTGGATATTAAAAAGATACAGAGTTCATCAAATCATTAAGTTTTAGTTCTAATTCATGACAGAACTACCCAAGGGATGAGCAGATGTGGGATAGTCCATGAATTGTTTGACCAGAAACAATCTGTTTGATGTTGTAATATACACAGTGTTAGAAGAGGGAGACACTAGTTAGCCTGGGAAATGAAGGTAGAAGCCAAATATTCACCCACACACTCATCCAGTGGGCAGACGGGCGTTCTGTACCCACTCCATGTCAGAAACTGGGCAATGTGCTGAGGGTAAAGCTGGGAATAAGACAGACAGGACCCTTGTGCTCCCAGAGCTTACTATTTGTCTGAGAGTAGGCTGAAGGTGCATGGAACAATGAAAGTGGTCAAAATGGAGAGAAGCCAAAGCATGAGCAAGAGCTGGTGGGAACAAACAGGAGAGGCACAAACAGCAAGGGCAGTGGCTGCTCAAGTAACAGACAGTTAAGGAAACAATTTAGGGAATAGCAGTCTTGCACACAGCAGTGACATTCCACAACAGACCTACATTCTTCAGAGGCAAATAAGATCTCTTAAGGAGACTGTGACGTCTCGATAAGGATGAGCATTTAGGGAAATGCCTTTACCAGGTCTTCAGAGCTTTTAAAAATCTGTAGAAGATTTTTGCATCTGCTGTGTATCCCAAATTACAGTAGATAAGGTATTGTGAAATAGTAATGAATGAACCAGGACTAAGATCCCGTGTGTCACTTTTGTTTTAGGTAGACAAGAAGTCTTACATTGAACTTGAATCTTATGTAGATGTTACACATCTCTGATCATTGGTCACTTTTCGGATGTCAGAAATGTCCTTTTTTTCACATTTAATGCCGCCAGAACTGTAATCCAATAACAATTTTCCCAGTAAGTGCTTCTCACGTGCCACTAGGGAGCAATTGCTTTGCTACACTGCACTTAAAAGGAGTTTAAACTAAAAAGACACAAAATTCACTTTCTTGTCTACTGTGGTTGTGAATACGCTAAAAAATAATATTTTAAATTATTGAACTTTCACTCCTATGAGACATCAATGTAATTGCAGAGAGGGCACCTTTAATTTTTTTATACGCTTATTTATTAATAAAGAAGAACTTTATGTTCATCCACCAAAAGAATGGTCCAGTGGAACAAAACAATAATGCAACGAAACTTCGAGTTCATTAAATTGGAATGCCGAGACTGAATTACTAATTTATGTTGTTTTTAATTTCATGTTATAAATTATACTATTTTAAAATATAGGAGGGAACCGTTCCCTTGGAGTCTGCTTACCTCCAACTCTGACTCAGAAAGTTTTATTTGTCCCTGGGGAACTGGGAGGTAGAGAGATTCACTGAAAAATTGTAGTTTTACAGGAGCATTCCATGAAACATTCATAGACATGTTTCTGCATTACAGGAAGCTTAATAAACACAGCCAGTCATTTAAAAATACAGATGGCACTGTAAGGCTTTTGAAAGGCATTTTCCTAGAGGAAAAGGTGGATTTTGAAGATCGGACTTCAGGGGTACCACAGATATGTTTGCCAGGAAGTTCACCCTGAGATGCGGATAGTGAACAGTTGATGTGGGGTCCCCACTTTGGGGTGGGGGAGGAAAGCAGGCCTGGGGGCTGGGCTTTAATGCAGCCTCAAAGGAGGCCTCGGCCAAGTTCCTGGGAGCTTTGGGAACGGGCTAAATTTCAGAGATGGAAGAGAGAACCACTCTTTTACCTCTGGAGTGATCAGCCATGAGATGCAGGCTGATCCTGGGAAGAAGCCTGGCCTGGGGTGAGGTGAGGTGATTCTCTGCAGAGCAGGGTGGTAGCAGTGCAGTGGGACAGACACATCTTTCACTCCTAAAGATAGATTTGGGAGACCTGCATCCATCTGCAGATCTGGGATATATCTGCATCATGGGATCAATCCATCATTAAATAGAATTTGAACAAAATCAGAACAACTTTTGCCCAAAATTAATGAAGGACAAATATCTGACTTGGAAGACTTTAGTCTGTTAAGAATTATCTCCACTCACTTAGTAACCATGCCTTTAGTAGTACTTGTTATGTGCAGACATTTTACCAGAGGTTGTGGAAACATGGTGGAGATGACTCCATCACAGGAGGACCATGAGCACTGAGCATCCAACAGAGCCCAAGCATTTTATATGGACTTGTTCATCTAGTCCTTGTGAAACCAATTCTGATGAGGAAACCTGAGATTTTGTGTGTTAAAAATTTGCCCAAGGCCACATAGTAAGTAGATGGTGGACCAGGGAAGTAGTCTGTCCTGCCTGAGCCCAGAGAATTCAATCCTATTACAAAGCAGGAAGGAAGGCAGGCAGGAAGGGAGGAAACAAAGGAGGGAGGGAGGAAGGAAAGAAGAAAGGAAAGGAGGAAGGGAAGAGGGCGACTGGTCAGGTAGGTAAAGAGAGAATTTGAATTGTAGCTGGCAATACAAATTTATAAACTATCTCTTGTAAGAGGGTATTATAAGGTTTATTAACAGCTTTTAGAAAAAGTAGGCTGTTCCAATTTCAGAATAAATAAATGTGGATAGAGGATGTTTGGTAATAATTTTGAGAGAGAGAACTAAAAAGTTTTAATATCTTCAGTCCTCTGTAACATCTGTACTGTTATAGTGTTGACATTTGCTATCTTAGCTCTCTTGGAGTTTCCTTAATGAAAAGCAGATTTTTTTAAGAGTTTTTTTTGGGGGGGGTTGTAGTTTTAAAAAACCCTCTTTGTCATTCAAACCTCTCCCCTGACAATTTTGTAACTTTTCAATTATAAAACTATTATATGCTTATAATAGAAATTTTAGAAACTACAAAGATACATAAAGAGTAAAACTGACTTCAAATGCTCTTACAAAGAGATTTATAATTGTTTTTCCCTTTGACCTTCTTTTTCTTCCTTTTTTAACAAAAATCAATTTTACATTATGCATTTTTTCTCTACAAAGCAAATATAAGCTTCTCTCCAAGTCATTAAAAACTCCTTAAAACAGGATTTTAGGTGTGATATTTAGTTATATGAGCACATCTTAATCCACCTAATTCTATTGTTTTTGGACGTTTAGGTTCCATTTTTTTCAATGAAACATAAGTAAAAAATAATTTAGCGTTGAGAATATTATAGCAGGGAAGTGCGTCCTGTTGGGAACGATGACTTTCTTATACTGGCCCTCTCTTTTTGAGCTTCAGTTATTTTGGGCTACTGTTCATTTATAAGCCTGAAATGAAATGCCACTTAAGGAAATTGTGAGACTTGTCTGATGTCTCTTAGAAGAAGAAAAAGTTACCCACATTTATTTATTCATTCATTACTAATTGCTGCTGTTCTGCGGCTTAGGTCTAAAAACTGTAGAGGCTTTTCAGAAAGAGGCCTTCTGAGAGCTTCTGGTTGTCTGTGACAAGCAGTCATGCACACAGGTAACACTGATGGAGGACTGTGGGCTCAAAGCCATAAGAACTCGTATCCTTAATATTATAGAATTTCTAGAGGGTGAGAGCTTTTCTATTGGGGTGCTATAGAAGGCCCTAAGGTAATTACAACATTCTAGAATAACTTGTTTGTCATTTGTTTATGTGCGCATATATGTATGTACAAGTGTTAGAAGGTAAAATATGATTATTTTGTTCAAAATTCTTAATTAGCCAACTTAAAAGCCATAATTAATAATTAGTAGTAATAGTCATTCAAAAAATCCTGCTCTTATGATCTCAGAGATTATCAGAAAAATAAATCATACGAGCAATTGTGACTTGAAGGTATCTCCAAGAAATACAGGTACTTTACAAGATATGTTATGGTTCACAGTATTAAAGTTTCTCTCTCTACCATTTTTAATTTCTGAAAAAAATCATTAGATTTTATAAATACTTTTTTAAAGTTGTGTGATGATTCAAACTTCTCCATTAAGCTGTAAAGGAAACATTTCTCCCAAAAGAAAAATCGTAGTCTCCTATCATTGCCAGTGTTTGTAGCTGACCTGCACTCATTGAAGTCTCCTACCCGTAGCTTACTTTGGAGGTAGATGTCCTTTATCTGTCTTTATCTCAGGTGGGAGCTCCCTTATTTTAATTTGTCTTAAAGTCCAATTCATTGTAAGATTGCAGAGTTAGAAGGAAGTGTCAGTTCCTACATACTCCTCCTCCAAGCATGCTTGGCTTTATTTTTGGAGTTCGTGCTCCTGGAACACACTAATTTGCCTCTCATGTTATGGCTATTTCTTTAAAGAGTGACCCATGTTGCATGTCAAATGGTTTCTTTTCAGGATGATAGTCTAACACCTTGAACCTTGAATATTCTGAAGTTTCAAAGAGCACCCAAGTCTGAGAGCCACCGTGAACTCCTCATGCAAGGAATTTCTAAGGGTCACCTTTTCATGCCCTGTGGCGAGAAGACTCTTAAAACCTGTTTCCATAAAATGGCAAATGTAAGTGCAAAGAAGATACCAATTATCAAATTTGAATCAGATTTTTAAATGATACAATGTACATTTTTCATTATCCTTTGAGCTCTGTTATTTTCATCTTCTTGCATGGGGAAGAGTAGGATGGATGCTAATATGTTTTATGTTTATCTTTCTGGTACATCTAATTTTTAAAGTCGTCTTCTGGCTAAAAGCAAATTCTTCTAATAGGATTCTCTGTTCAGGAAGAGAGACCAAGATGGAGAAGCATTATCACTAAACTGAGAAAGAGCTGTTCTTCTAGCCATGATGTGTTCAAAGATGAGCTCCATTAATGGAAAACAAATGATTGATAATCCAGGGGTTCACATGTGAAAGGCACTGTACCCTGAGCAGGTAACTGGCTGTAGGTACAGGATAGCTAATGTGTGATGTCTGTGTGCATTGTTTCAGTCATAATACTCAGGGCCATCATTATGAACAAGCCAGTCACAGTCACACACAGCCACTTCTGTCTCTTGTCCGTTTTACCTAAGAATATATTTTAAGATTTTTCTATCCTTCACCTCTATTTCTTTCCTACAGCCATAATTTCTACCAAATAATTTTGTTTCTTGGCTTTATTATTTTCTTAAGCTTTTTCAGTTGGGTGTTTTCCACAGCTGAGAGTAAGGAGTTTAATTTCTCTTACAAGCTCCCATTGGAACTCTGCAGCCAAATCCCCAAACACCTGTGGCAACCAAGAGACTGTGATGCATCTGGGAGCCACAGCTTATGGTTAATAACAGACGATCAACATAGCCTGAATGGGTGGTGGTGCAAGGAGGAGGGGGGAGCCATCTTTCCACAGCAAAATCCTGGTTTTCTGCACAAGGGGAAATTACTCTATGTGGGACACAGAAGAAATAACTGTAACAATTATCCCCAAGCATAAGTATTTCCTCATAGATAGATTAATCATATTTAATATTAATTAAAACCATGGAGAATTTCATGAAATTTACAAAAAATATGGTGGCCATTGTAGTCATTTGCATATACAGGGCACAAATACAACCAAAATATTTGTAAGAAAAAATGTATTTAAAGCTGATTCCGACAGAGGAGGAAATGATGTTGGTTTAGTGTTTCCTGGGGCGAAAAGAGTGTTTTGGTTTTTGGGTTTTTTTTTTTTCAGATTATGCTTCCAAACTTGGAACTCACCTCTGTTCAGCCACCGTCCTACTCAGAAAAGTGGAAATAGCTTTTCCTGTAGAGGTTTTGAGAAGCAGGTTAAATAAAATAACAGGTTATTGCAAGTTTATAGGAAAGCATTATGTGCTCCCAGCCTCTTACATTTGATTTAAACCTGGATTCTGTTTCCTTTTGATTAATTGATTGCATTTGTACCAGGATAAAATAATGTCATTTGTTCTGGTGTCAGCCCTGCTTTCCCCTCATACGGAAAAATAATGGGTTAGCCACCGTCCCAAACACCAGAGAAGTTAGCACAGACACAACTTTAGAGAAAACTGGACATGAAATGTTCCTGAAAAGTCTGCATTCTCTTTCAGGATGTGATGGTGGGTTCCACAACATTTACGATTTGAAACCCTAAGGAGATACTCAATCATAAGTACATAAAACGCATTATTTTTGATCAGAGAACTCTGAAATCTGCAATGTTCTTCACTGGCACTCTTCCCTACGCTGTGCTGTCCAGAACATGTGCGCTGCTATTCTGAGCTTTCCGGAAGTGAAACAACTTTATGGAAATCGTATGCAAAATGTTTCTCAAGTTTTTTTGCAGTTTACTTTTTTATGAGTCTGTTAAAAATTGAAGAGAAGCCTTGTTGACATTTTATATGCTTATTTTTCTTTCAAAGGAAAATTGGAGGATTTTTAAATTTTCATATCACAGATGATAAAAGGTGAGATAACATCATAATTCTTATCTTGTTCAATTGGATATGTGGTTGTTTTATTTTCTTTTATGAGTTTTATTCATCTTGTAACCAGTCTTGTATGTCTCATAAAAAAAAAAGAGAGAGAGGTTTATGTTACTTTTTCTGTTTTGAGGAGTTTGCTTAGAGCTAAAGTATTTAGGCAGAAAACCTGATCAAAAGATCTGAATTCTTAAAATACTACCTCTGAAAAATGTGAGCAAATAATGTAAATATTTCAAATATCATTATTTCAATATTTTAAGTACCCCCCCCAAATGATTCTGGTGCAACTTTGTCCTCTGAGAAAGCTGAAGAAAGGAACATATTGTTGTCTTGAATATATTTGAATATCACAATCACATTGTTTCCCTCCCAATGTGTTTATGAAATGGAATATTTTTAGCGAAAGGATATGGCTCCAGCCACTTATTATTTCTATAATGTTTTATTCATCCAACTGAGCACTAAGATTTTTATAGTTCTCCAAATAGTTTACTGATCCAAGTACTTCTTTGGCTGTCAAAGTCCCTTCATGATCTCTTAAGAGAGAAACGTTATGACATTCGTAGATACAACAATTCATTAGGTTTAGCACAACTATTAGTTCTTTAATTAAATATTGACTTGAGCCTCCAGGTTCTCCTGCAGATGAAAGAGTGATCTTTTATCAGCAAGTGGTGTGCTGCTTCATGGATTTTACTCAACCAACAGTTACGGAGAGCCTCTCCTGTGCAAAGCAACACTTAGGCACCATGTGTATGCTGACGGTGTGCCGGGAGATGGATAGAAAGAGGAAGCCGTCGCGTTTTATGGATTTTCATTATTATTACAAAGACGAGCATTAGAAAGCAAAGGGCAAAGGCTGCCGAGCTCTTTCTAAATAGGCAAGCGTGTCGCAGCTTCGGGAGGAGGGGACAGGAATGGTGGCATTTTTCAAAATGGGAATTTGGTTTTTCAGACTGACGCCTGAAAAATAAAGACAAGGCTAAACCATTGCATCAACAAATTATTTCTTAATGGCTATTTTTATGGGACGATTTCGTTCTACGTTGGGATTAAACCGCAAATTTCAGGCACTCATTAGCGTTCCTCCTTTGCCATGTCTTTAATATGGTTGTATATTAATTCGATTGCTGTGAGTTTCCTGAAATAGAAGACTGACTCGACCCCGTGGCTGGTGCTAGAGAGATCACATCCTGTGTCACATCAGCAAATTAGCACCGAGTTTAACCCTTACATAGTAAAGCCGAGCGCGGGCGAAACAACATCTTGGCTATTTTTCTAGCTTCCAGCACTTCATTAACTGTGGCACCACACAGGGGTTATGTAACTGTGAGCATAACTCTGTAAAGTTTATAAACATAACAGAGAACGTTCTCACGGGCGTCCGAGGCCAGGCCGCATGCGTCGCTCCCGGAGGTCACCCAGAGGTCCTCCTGCAGAGGCGGCTCGCCCTTCAGCGGCGAGGGGAGGCGGCCCGCCTGCGCGCGCTGGCTGTCCCAGCCCTGACCCCTCCGGCGGTCGGGCGCCGCGGCCCTGCACTCCTGCCGGCACGTCGCCAGAGGAAGACTGATTGCCTCTTAATAAGGTTTCTCGGCAGTTTGACCAACCTCGGGTTTTTTTTATTTTTTTCTTTTCCTTTTTTTTCCCCAGTCCCTGGGTTCTTAGCCCTTGACCCCCACAATGTGGCATTCCTTAAGGCTCCGGCCGACAACATACTCGGAGGGGCTGGGGGTAGCGCTCAGTGGTAGAGGGTACGCTTAGTGTGCGCAAGGTCCTGGGTTCAGTCCCCAGGACCTCCGTAAAAAGTTAAAAAATGACCAGACCATGGACTCCCTTAGAGGGCGGGGTTTTCAGTTGCTGCTGTGGGAAGAATCTCAGACCGACAGGTCCAAGAGCGCCCCCTGGACACGGGCGGGCGGCCTCATTCCTGGCCTCAGGTGAGGCTTAGAGAATTCCCACGAGGTCCACCGTGCCTCGCCGTTCGGCAGAGCGGGGACGAGCTCAGGGTGCTCCCGAATTGTGCCTGCCTGCGTTCTTAGCCTCCTTCACCAGGCACGCCTGCACAGACAGGGTTTTAAGGACCTAAGACGCAGAGGCCACCCGGGAATTCGCCTCTGGGATCAGCCCTCCCAGAGCCTTGCGGTCAGAACTCCGTACCTAGATCGTAGTCTTGACCATAGCAAGTTCTGGACTTTGTTATCACGTGGTCCTAAGAGATGAGACATGAGAGTGTGGTGGGTGAGCGTGTGCGTCCGCGCCTTATGCCCTGATGGGCAGAAGTCCTCGCCCTTTATCAGGGTAGGGCCCTAGGACAGGACCACCGCCACCTTGTAGGGTGATTGCATCACATGAGGCTGCAACTCTTTGGTGCTCTGTTTCAAAGTCATTATTTGAACTAGAGTAGATTCAGCAATAACTTGTGTTTATGGAACTTGACTGGGTTCCCTCCTTAACTCCATCGTCTCAATTCTTGGCTCACTAGGAGTGGCTTTTTCTCCCCTCAATTTCTGTGCTATGTTATGGAACATATAAAAATATGTTCCTCTTTCAAATCTCTGTTTCCCTCTTAGTGTGATTTTATAGACCATTTTTAGACGCGCTCACACACACACACAAATCACTCTCTACCTCTCTTTGTCCAAATCTAACTGGGCTGCGGATAACCATGTTTGACTGAAAGGACACGCTCGGTCTTCTGCCAGCCTTCACCCAGCTCTCAAAATGGAGAACTTGCTTAATTAAAGAACTCACCCTGCCTGAGATCCTGTGGGAAAATTTCTTCCAGAAAGAACGTGGGATCCGAGGAGTCAAGGATTTTGGCAGTAGTCAGACTGGAGTTTAAATCCGGGATCTGGCATTTAATTACGGGGTGGCCCTGGGCAAGTTAGTTACTTAATCCTCCATGCTTCAATTTCCTCATCAATAAAAATGCAGGTCATAAGAATTACTTGACTTAAGGATTTAGCAAGTTATGTCTAATAATACCTAGTAGTGGCTGGCATGCAGTAAGTACTTAATAAGTAATAGTGAGGGTTTGGAGGGCCATTCCTGAGATTAAAAAGAAAAAAAGCTCGCAGGCTGTATTTCCTATATAATGATATTTTTGTCAGTGTCTAATTTATTTTATTCTTTTTTACAACAAAAATACCTTTGCTAACTTACCACCATTTCCCCTCTTCTTTCCTGTGCCCATCTCTGCAGACCAGACACTTTAAGTTCACATGTGATTTAAGAAGAGACTTCCAGCCATAGGCATCTCCCCTGCCACCCTGTCCTCCACCCACTGCTATTGCTCCAAATTAGAACCACACCAAAGAAACTCTCCTTTGTTTTTCACCTCCACACCTATCCAGACCCACATGCAAGTTGAAGCTATTTTGCTCTTAATGTGGTACAGACACATAAACTCTAAAGAGAGCACTGAGACATATGTATTTTTAATGAAAGAGTATTTCATTGTCACGGACAAGAAGGAAAAGATGACCAACTTCAGATTTCTCTTTAATGACTTTCTAAGTGATAGCTGCTCCTTCTGATGGTCAACTCTGCAGCTGTGGCCCCGGCACCATTGTGCTATTAGCCTATGGCAAAATAAAAATCCCAATTAAAATGCAAACTTTTGAAAGTGTCAGTAGGCAGAAAAGCCACTTAGAAGAAAAAAAATCCGCAAGAATGCTTTTAAGAGCAGGGTTCAATGTTGTGTCTTTAGCAGCTTTCTCCCCATAAAGCTTTTGATAACAGAACCTTGAACCAAAAAAACCATGATGCTAAAGTAAAACTTGCTCGACATGGAAGCAAACAGTTTGAGGGTTTTTTTCTTTTTCTTACATCTATGCCATCATCTAAAATATTACAAGCAGACCCACAGGGAAGCAGTGAGAGTCGTGGTTGTAACACTGAGGCTAGGTGTACCCATTCTTCTTTCACTCAACAAGCGCTTTTGAGCACCTGCTCTCTGCAAAGCTTTAAGAGAGGACCTGCTGTACACTGATAAAGAAAATGGTCACGGTTCTTGCCTCCATGAGCTTAGAACTGCAGAGTCAGAGAATAAATCATCAGCAAACAAGTAAAATGCAATGACATACCCAGGTCTACGTATACATGCACTTAGACACGTACAATGACAAATGCCACCACGGAGACAAGTTGGTGAGATCATGAATGTCTGGGCAACATCCTGAGATCAGGTGTTCCAAGGAAGCCTCGCTGAGGAGGGGCAGGCAGGACTGCAAAATGAGGGGTCAGCCTTGGGGAGATTCGGGGAACAGAGCTCTAGGTAGGGGGAAAACCAAGAGCTAAGGCTTTGAGGCGGAACAGACTCGGTGTGCAAACAGACAGCAAAGAAGGGGATGGAGCATTCTGACAGATCTGACTGCAAGTCTTGGCTTGGCTGTGTGTTATCTGAGCAATCTATTTTGGGGAAGTGAATTTTATGGATAGCGTGTGAATAGAGTCAGCCTAACAGGGTTCACTTGGCGTCACCACTTACCAGATGTGTATCCTTTAACTCATTACTTAGCCACTCTGTTCTTTAATTTCCTCCTCTATAAATGGGGACAATAGTACCTACTTGAGTGGGTTGTTGTGAAGATTACGTAGGATTAAAGGTAAACATGCAGAGTAGGACTTGTCATTAGAAAGCATGTAATAAGTGTTAAGTATTCCTCATCTTGTTATTATTCCTTATATTGTTATTAGTATTAATTGCTAAATCTCTCTGACCCTCAGAGGGTTGCAGTTTCCCCACTATTCGGAAGCATATTTCACAGAGTCCCTGTGAAACCTTTCATAGACTGAAATACTGTAAAGCGAAGAAGCAATTACCTTAGGACACGTCTTGCTAAGGATACACAAAATAAGTGGAGGCAAAGCACAGGTGCTCATGGATGCAGCTCAGAGCCGTGCGGCTTGACGGTGAGATGCTGAGGGTCCTTCCTGGGGGAGGAGCTTGGGGCGCCGTTCTCGCTACTCAGGGCGCGTGCTGCCGGTATCCCGGCTCGATGCAAACCCAACACTGAACACAGTTTTCGTTTTTTTCTCCTGTTTTCATAAAAGCAAAAATCCTCTTCAGAATCAGTTGGTGAAAGCAGGTACCAATGTAGGCCTTCCATAGAAGTGAAGTGGCTTAAAGCAAACTTTCAAAATCAGGGGGTACCTATCATACTAAAAATGAATCCCACCTTGCAGTGTTCCATGGAAGACTGTGTGTGATGCTATGTGTACAATTCTTAGCACATATTGCTCAGCACATATCACTCAATGCACTGGTAGCTTTCATACTGTTGTTTTTTTTAATTAATAGTAGCATTGGTTATAAGTTAAAACTAGTATCAAATCTATGTTTTCTAAATTGAACTCAAAATATTCTTAGGGTATCGAAATGTTTTTAGAACTGAGCTTTAGCCAACATTTGATTTGAATCCATTTTCTATACATAAAAAAGCATGTTTGTTTCACTCCAGTTGTATGCCCATCCTCACCTGTCTCCCATAAACGCTCTTCACCACTCAGGACCCTCGATGCACAGCTAAGTGTGCCTACTGGTGTCCGTCGTGTTGCCTTATTAATTCTCTTTCCTCTTGGCCTCGGCAGGGGACAGAGAACACAGGGTTACGTTTGGCCCATCTCCAAACGTCCCACGATCTCCATCTCATCAACATGTACCACACATGAGGGAGAGAAGGAGTCATGGGTGCAGGGTAAGGAGCTGGAGTTTTTACCACCATCAGCCACCCATCTGGCCATTTGTGTAGAACATTTAGTGAGGTATGGAAGGTTCTGGAAATAATTTCAAACAAAGGGAGGAAGGGAGGGAAGAAAAAAGGAATCCAAGGTGAAGGCAGTAGGCGTAGACACACTATGCTCAATCAGAACCAGGCTCAGAGAGAGCTGTGGAAATTGTCAGACCACAAGACCTCTCATGTGCACGTTAAACGGAAACCAGTCCACAGACCAAACGACAGCCGTGTGGACCGTCTGACGGAAATACAGTGCCCTCCCTCC